TACATAACATTGTCTACTTACTGACACCCTATCATACTAAATATTGTCTAATTACTGACACACTAACATATCTAATGTCTTATTGACACCCTAGCATACATAACATTGTCTACTTACTGACATACTATCATATCAAATATTGTTTAATTACTGATATCCTAACATATCTAATATTGTCTACTGACACCCTATCTTACTGAATATTATCTAATTACTGACACCCTAACATACCAAATATTGTCTACTTACTGACACCCTATCTTACTGAATATTAGCTAATTACTGACACCCTAACATACCAAATATTGTCTACTTACTGACACACTATCTTACTGAATATTATCTAATTACTGACACCCTAACATACCAAATATTGTCTACTCACTGACACCCTATCTTACTGACACCCTATCATACCAAATATTGTCTATTTACTGACACCCTATCATACCAAATATTGTCTACTTACTGACACCCTATCTTACTGACACCCTATCATACCAAATATTGTCTACACTGACCCCCGATCTTACTGAATATTATCTAATTACTGACATCCTAACATGCCAAATATTGTCTACTTACTGACACCCTATCTTACTGAATATTATCTAATTACTGACACTTAACATACCAAATATTGTCTCTTTACTGACACCATAGCAATACCAGATCCCAGCATACTGAATCTTCTCTATACACTGACATACTAGTATACTTACTATTTTCCCTAACCAGACAAAATTCCATGGTATTTTGACTTTCTAACGTGCTCTTCAAATCCACGGCGACACCTGGCTCACTCTGTTTTTCTAATATGTAATCTGGACCTGTAAAAAAAGGAAATTACAGTCAAACTTACATGGCTATACAAGGCCATACAAAAGAAACTATATGTTTTACATTCTCATAAATCAATCAAATTACAATCTAATTATGATAGATGGATTGTCCATTGTAATTTTGATTTTTGTAACTCTTTAAATGACATATTTTTCCTGCCAAAATTTTTGTGAGACATATTGTACATTTTATGTTTTTTCTATAATTTTGGTATTTATAAACATAGACAATATTTTATGGTTACAGGACTTGATCAACATTTCAAAAAAATGGGAGAAAGGTTATGTGAGTTTATTTTGTGAAAGGTAAGTTTTTATTTTGTTTCTATTAGAACAAATAAACATACTTATTCACTGCAGGTCTTGAAAAAAATTAAAATGTTTATTTTATGACCCCTCCCCTCCTCATACACCCCTCACACATTAAGAAACTTACTGAGAATAAAATGTTGTATGTTGGTTGAGTAAAATAGTGCATATTTTTAGTGATATATCTTATTATTTGTATTTATTCTGACATTTACAAAAACTTTAGGATAGCAAGTGAATCAACAGTGAACGAAGCGCACAGCCCGACTTTTTGACCGTCTGCTTTCAGAAATTTCATTCTATTTCCATGGCAACAGAAGTGCTGCATATGTGTAAACAAAAGAATATTATAAAAGCAGATATCTGCAATTAATACACTCTATCACATGCTTGCCACATTGCAAACAGTTTTTTATGAATCACTGAATTCTATTGTCTTTAACTACCAGGCATTCAATAATTATAAGTTTATGCAAGGATGGAATGACTGGAAAGGAAGGAATGGAGCGCTGGAAAGGAAGGAATGGAGCGCTGGAAAGGAAGGAATGGAGCGCTGGAAAGGAAGGAATGGAATGACTGGAAAGGAAGGAATGGAGCGCTGGAAAGGAAGGAATGGAATGACTGGAAAGGAAGGAATGGAATGACTGGAAAGGAAGGAATGGAGCGCTGGAAAGGAAGGAATGGAATGACTGGAAAGGAAGGAATGGAGCGCTGGAAAGGAAGGAATGGAATGACTGGAAAGGAAGGAATGGAGCGCTGGAAAGGAAGGAATGGAATGCCTGGAAAGGAAGGAATGGAGCGCTGGAAAGGAAGGAATGGAATGACTGGAAAGGAAGGAATGGAGCGCTGGAAAGGAAGGAATGGAATGACTGGAAAGGAAGGAATGGAATGACTGGAAAGGAAGGAATGGAGCGCTGGAAAGGAAGGAATGGAATGACTGGAAAGGAAGGAATGGAGCGCTGGAAAGGAAGGAATGGAATGACTGGAAAGGAAGGAATGGAGCGCTGGAAAGGAAGGAATGGAATGACTGGAAAGGAAGGAATGGAGCGCTGGAAAAGAGGGGGCTATATCAAGTACAAAAGAGCTGATGATGAAAAATGATTGGCCAAGGTCACAACTAATGATTGTTGGTTTCCTAACATTCTATTGTTATATGCTATAAATTACTAACTAGACTTGCTATAATAGAAGTATATGGTATTCCCAGTAGAGTAGAACTCTGTATTGCCTTAGGGCATATACACTGCAGTAAATAAAGGACACTGCTCAAAATCCCAAAGAACATGCACAAATGTTACAATTGCTTTTACTTTTGTACGCATTAAAAAATGAAAGGCTTGATTTTAATAATTTGTCAATTTGCTATCCAAAAGAAGACTGTACACTGAGAAGAAAAACATAAAATTTACAATTATCGTTTTCAGTTGTGACATGATGTATTGAAATAATGCAACATATAAAAATCTATTCGTTTCAAATGTTTCCTTTTTGTACATAAGCAACATAGTTTAGTATCCATGGTTACTGTAATTCAATAAAAGTGAGGGTGAGGAAGATTGTTGTTGTTGCATAATACTCTACAATGATTGATGTAGAAGGAATGATGTAAGATGAATAGATATGATGAATGATTTGCTCATGTTTTTTCCTGTTAAAGTTTTTCTCCATTTTTGGTTAATTTGGGTCTAGACAGAAAGAATTTGACATTATTACACATTCTGATAACAACTCATTGAAAACATTTATTTCAACATAGATCAAAAAGAGACAATTTACAGGATTATTTGCATATAGTAACAAAAGACTCCTTTTAATCCAAATTTTTTGTTATTATTCCAGAAAACAAGTAATTTTCATATATGATCATGGAGAGAATATCGCAATATACGGTACAACTCCTAAAATGTAAAACATTCCGGTGAGTAACAATTTTATTTTTCCACATGGACTATTTGTCGGAATCAATGATGCAAAAAATCCAAGTTGACAGTTGGGGAAATGAAACGGACAAGAGGGGATATAAGAAACCTGGCAAATTGTTATTATTTCAGGGGAACAGTCAGGTGGAAGCAAGGAAGTCATATACAAAGAAAAAAAACACCATCAAACATTATTACAGTAAGATAATAGCAGAAATTAAAATAAAATACCACCATCAAACGAAGATTGAAGTTTCCAAAATGTGTCAAATGTTTGTCAGTGGCTATGTACTGTCATCATATTTTTGGGTCAATCTATGAACAGAGATTTTGTAAAAAAAACTCTGAAATGGTTTTAAAACAAACCATTCATGATCAGCATTAACAAATCACTAGATAGTGTAAATGTTTGATTTATTGATTGATAAGGCAATATTTATCATTTCTGATATAATGAAAGATAAGAATGGTCGTTTAAAAAAAAGTTTCACCATAAAACAGTCTTTTTTTGTAATTGATACAAAAGTGGACGATGTTTAACCTTTTAAAAACAAAATTTGAATGCTGATATACAGATGAGATATAGAAGCAGGCAGAAGTGTGAATAAGCTCTGCTATTCATAATAATTTTAATAAATAGTGAAAGCAAAATATATTCAAACAGAAAATATGTACATGGTGAATAGCAAACGTACAAAATACTATTCTCTATTATTTATTTTATTACATGCAATAATGAATAATTATTTTCAATTCCAATTTTTTTTTCTTAGAGGTCGAAGTAAGTCTTCTAATTTTTGAGATATTGAATTACAATCACAAGTTTTTTTCTTCCTGTTTTATACTTTTAAACCCTTTCTCACATTTTTACATTTTTTTTTTATATCTTTTAAAAACATTTTTTTAAAAATATTTTTTACACCTATTATAACACTTTTTATCATAGCTTTTGAAAAACCTTTTTTATACCTTTTTTCATAAACTTTTTCTTTTATGGCACCTTAAGTTTTTTATCACAAAGGTATAAAGGACTACAGTTTATAATATATTATTATACCAGGTCAACATTTTATAACATTTTCGGTTCAACAAGGTATCTTGTAACACTTGTGTCGAGTTATGTTCTATATGAATGGCGATAATCTTTGAACAACACAACTATATTGGTCAGTACGACCGTTGTCACTGCACCGTGTACATGGTTAGCGCTGATTATTTGAATTTCGCACAGCATTCGGGATTTGTAGACGTTGTATTCATGTCATCAAAGTATTTTATTACTTAATGTGTATGGTACATGGGATTCATACTGGAAATAATGTATTATATTATGTTTCATTTAGATCTGAGTGTTCCTAGTGCAGTGTGATTGTTTTTATTTGTGTGCGCGTATCATGTGTAAACAACACAGCTTCCGAAACGTCAGACGATCATTCATAGCTAGCTTATACCTACAAAAATCATGAATGTGAGTTATTTTTGAATATAAATACATACGTTTCACTGAAAGCGTTGTGGAACATTTTCTTGTGAATGGAAAAAATTCTGAATGTTGTCATTATAAACTGTGTAGCCTTTTACAAAGTGTTTGTTTTATTCTGTATAATAATACAAATATTAACTCAAGTCTTGGTCAATATACAGATTTGTTGACCCACAGACTGCATTGTTGACCTTGGTTTTTCCTCGATCAACAATGCTTTCTTTTGGGTAGACAAATCTGTGTTTCTGTAATATTATGAGGTTATTACGAGAATACCTCAAAGTGTACACAAAGACAGTACTGCTGGAGTATCAACCGACGCGCAGTGCAGGTCAATGCGTGGCGTACTGTCTGAGTGCATACTTTGAGGTATTCTCATAATAACCTTATTATTTTTTTACATCTTTTTCCTTCCAAGGATACATAATGGGAATGCCAAAATCCAAAAAGTTTAGAACGGAATCAGCGAACTTCTTTGTGTGGAGTCCGGTCAAACCCTGATGGCAGCCATGTTTGTTTTTACGCGCATAATCATTCCATCTTTGGAATTCGCATTCCCTTTTATGGAAGGATGAAAATACCCCGTAAAATACCGCAAAATTACGGCACATGGTAACTTATGGCGTTACGGTGACAGATGTATGTAGTGGTGTGAAAAACTACTAATCTAGTTTGCAGGTTTACTTATCAACAAACAAACTTTTTAAATTAAGTTGTACGAGTTTCAAAGGGCCCACATCATAAGACTGTCGGTTTAAAAAACAACTTACAATACCAGGATTAACAAGCCATGCATGGCACAGTCCCAGTTAGTTATCAAATTTAAGATATATAGTTTTGTTTATAGTAATATAGCTGGAATATAACCATGTCAGAATATGATTTTTTAACATTAAAATGATTGACATTTGTATCTGATCGTCAAAAAAGTACTTGTCCATATTGAGAGATATTGCTTTGCAACAGCATTCAAAATCAGCCATTTTGAATACATGCATATATATAACATAATGTATAACGAATATATAAAATTTGAATATAATCAGTGAAAGCATTTAAGAGATATGGCTCCAGAAGCCCAATCATTAAAACAAAATGGCCACCAGACAGCCATTTTGAATCCAATCTGAAAAATAAATGATGTGCATCAGGAACCTGTAATGTCTAACATATGTACCAAGTTTGAACGAAATCCATCCATAAATGCTTGATATTTGATGATTTTTTAGCACAAAAATGGCCACCATTTGGCCATTTTGAATAGGATCGTCAAACCAATATACTGTAGAATACTTTATTTTTGCTTGGAATTTATTTTTTTGCTATTTTCGCTGAAGGGATGATTCCGTGAAAATAAAATCCAGCGAATATACTTTTTTTCCTATATTCCACATTAAACTCATGAAAAAGCAGTGAAAATAAATTCCAAGCAAAACGCTCAAAAAGCCTTTTCAGCGAAAATTAATTCCAGCGAAAATAGAGTATTCCACAGTATCTGTCTATCTATGACATGATGTATAATGAATATTTAAAATTTGAACATAATCAGTGAAAGCAAGTCAGAGATATGGCACGAGAACCACATTCATTAAAACAAAATAGCTGCCAGTCGGCCATTTTGAATCTTATCTAAAAAACAAAATTATTTGCATCAAGGTACCATAATGTCTAATGTATATACCAAGTTTGAACAAAATCCATCTGTTAACAGCTGAGAAATGCTTGTTTTTGATGATTTTTAGCACAAAAATGGCCGCAATTCGGCCATCTTGAATCAGATCGTGAAACAAATTGACGTGCATATGTATACTATCATGTATGATGTATATGTGAAGTGTGATTGTGATTGGTCCAGGCATTTCCAAGATACAGGTCCGAACGCACGCACAGACGCAC